CACCCAGCCAGTTTTTGTGCTTAAGGCGGGACTAGAACTCACAGCCTCCTGGTTGATTGGCCCAAAGTCACCCAGCCAGCTCTCATGCCTAAGGCAGGACTAGAACTCAGAGCCACAGTGTTTAAAAGTCATGGAAAGAACCGCAACATTCATTAGTGGGGGGAAAAAATTACTGAATTAACATGGGAGCATCTGAAGACAGTGCAGAATCTTTTACAAAGAAAAGAAAGAAACTTTCTAGGGAAGAAGGGAGGGACAGAGTAAGAACGTAGCCTTTTATATATATATATGAAAAAAGGGAAATGTGAAATGTAAAGAGAGCCGTAAAAGACTGGAGAAATGATGCTGAATTTTGGAGATCATTTATAAATGCTCTATTTGTGTGCTTTCTATTTATAGCTGAAATCACAGGACACACCGGTAAGCACATTTTGCTATATATATATAGCAAATCATATATATATATATATAATTTCCCCTTACTGTTTGATCGAGAGATTCTCGTCCTTTAAAGCTTTGTCCTTTATCTTTTGATCTCGGGGGCATTTTGATTGCCACAAGCAAACCAGGCCAAAATCCCAGGAATGGCTACAGAAGGAGTGGAAAAAGGAGATTTCCTACATATGAAGGGCTTTTTTGTAATCATAAATGTTTGCTAGGAACCATGGAAAGGCCTGTACAGTTAGTCCTCCACTTACAACAGTTTGCTTAGTGACCGTTCAAAGTTACAATGGCACTGAAAAAAGTGAGCTATGACCATTTTTTCATTCTTACAACCATTGCAACATTAACCATGGTCACCTGATCAACATTCAGACAGTTGGCAACTGACTCATACTTATGACAGGGTTATACAATCCCCTTTTGTGACCTTCCGACAAGCAGAGTTAATGGGGGAGCCAGATTTACTTAACAGCGGTCTTACTAGTTTAAGAGCTGCCATGATTCATTTAACAACTGTGGCAAGAAAGGTCGTAAAATGGGGCAAAACTCCCTTAACAAATGTCTTGCTTAGCACCTAATGTTGGGCTCCATTGTCATAAGTCGAGGACTATCTGTACCGATTTTTAAATTTGAATTTCTACAGGAATTATATTGTCACCTCCCATTTGATATATTAAGCTTCTATCCCAGGGCAGTAGCTCTATTGAATTCTACTGTATAGTGCAGTATTGGTGTGATGACCCAGGGTGGGATACAAAATAAACACAGTCACAAAAACAGGTGAAGCCCCTTTTATTCCTTCAATTTGGCTTCAAAGCTCCAAGTATCCTTGACTGAGACAAAAAACTCCCCCACAAACAGTTATGAAAAGGAGGAAATGCCGTTTAAACTAAAAATGCCTCTAAATTATAAAGAGCAAAAACAACACAAACCACACTGAAGCAATTAAGGGAACCAGGCAAGATAAGGGCTTGAAGACGTCCACAGATACCGGAACACACACTGGGAAGGATGCCAAACTCAGAGAGGAACGACAGACTAGAGATATTTCCACACTTTGTTTCCAGCACTGGCCCATACGCATGTCTGTCCGTTTAACCAGTTCTCACAGCTGCAGCCCATGAAGGGGATCAGGACCCTTTCCTCCCCCGTAGACCATGCCATTCACGTTTCTCCCTTATCTGCTCCTCCCTGAATGAAGAGGGGATGAAGAGGGGGTGGGCCTAGGTCTTCCTCTGACTGCCCAGCCAGCCTCTGCCTTTCCCCAGTTTCCTCCACAACCTCCAGAGCCACGCTCCCACTCCCTGTCTGCTGTCAGACTCCATCAGAGGCATGACAGCATGTCAATTATTAAATACTATTAATTGTTAATTAAATATTATTAAATATTAAATATTAATAATTATTATTAATAATTATTAATTGAAATAGTATTTCAATTCAATGTGCGGAGTGTGAAAGGATGTGTGTTTGTGTTTATTTTCATGGTCACAATGTGCACTGAAGATGATGTTTGATTTCGTTGTACGAGGTGCAGTGACAATAAAGTAAAACTAAACTAAATTTCCTTTGTTCTTCACATTTCAAGTAATAAGTTGGCAGAAACTATGGGAAAGAAAAGATGAGTTAACAATATCCACAGCATATAAAGACAATCTGTATAAGCTGTTTCACAGTTGGCACTTTGCACCAGCAAAATTGGCAAAAATGTTTAAAGATAAATCATCCCAATGCTGGAAGTGTCACCAGACACCTGGATCATATTACGATATGTGGTGGACATGTACAGAAGCAAAAAGATACTGGATAAAAATCCACACATGGTTGGAAAAAAAATGATAAAGCAGCACATAGATTTTAAACCTGAAATTTTTTTTATTAGGAATGATACCTGAAGGTTATAGCCAAAAAAAGCATATTTAATTATTCATGTGTTAACTGCAGCTAGGATGGTATTTGCTCAGAATTGGAAAAGTGATAAAATACCAGCAGAGGGAAAAGGTGATAGAGAAAATATTTGAATGTGCAGAGATGAACATTGGCAATTAAAGAAAAAGATTAAAGAAAAATTAAATTAAAGAAAAAGAAGAAGCTGAATATTACATGGTATGGGATTTATTTTATCAATGGCTGAAAAATAAAACAAGTTAGCTGAGTAGACGAATATATAGAGAAGTAAGTTAAGATTGTTATAATAGTTATAAGGGATAAATGACCTACAAAGAAAATGTGATTATTGTTATATTGGCAAGAAAAGTATAAATTACAATTGCTAGCACTAAATCAACATACTGTAATGAACGAAAGATGGAATTATTGTAAATACAAAAAATAAAAATAAAAAATTTCCCCAAGTAATAAGCCTCTAGGAGATACACAGACAGGTGTAAAACTAATTTAAGATATTCTAAATATTGGCTGTGTTTTTCTTAGTAGATAAATGTGCTTGAGTTAGATAAGCAACACACATTTGCTGAGTGTGGCAACTGTTTAGGGCTAGTGAAAAACCACAAGGGGTTTCAAAGAATTTCCAGATAATATTTTCCGGCAGATAATCCTGTTCCATTCGTGTGTGTGTGTGAGAGAGAGAAGTTTTAATTTCATATCTACTGTGGTTTTGAGATAGCGGTGATGACTTACTAGCTAGGAGAAAGATCTTAAGAATTGCTGCAGGCGGTTAACACAACAGATGTAGCCCTTGCAAAAAAGACAGTGAAAATCTGGGCAAGGGGATCAGCCAGGAAAGGCATCTAAAAAAACAGTGGCCAATATTTTAATTTGAAGGCGAGAGTGCGACCATTCGTTAAAAAAAAAAAGATAGAAAGAAATTGAATGGATTGATACATTAACATCTGGTTTTCTGCCTTTCAAGTCAGTCACTAAACGAACTGCTATAAATCGAATGGTACCTGTAATCTAATGAGCTGGTTTTACTCCTTATGAGTTGCTTTTATTCGTTTATTTTATTTGTCCATTGCTTACAAGATGATAGGCATAAGTATTAAACATGAGTAAGAATACAGGAAATAGGTACGAATAAATGGGGACAATAGGACAGGGACAGGAGGCACGATGGTGCACTTATGCACGTCCTTTACAGACCTCTTAGGAATGGGGTGAGGTCAATAGTGGATAGTTTGAGGTTAAAGGAGTGAGGGGTTTGAGGATGTAACTACAGAGTCAGGTAGGGCATTCCAGGCATTGAATGTGGTCACTCTGTGGCTGAAGTCGGACTTTCTGCAATCGAGTTTCGAACGGTTTACATTGAGTTTGTGTCTGTTGTGTGCTCTTGTATTGTTGTGGTTGAAGCTGAAGTAGTCATTGAATGGGTAGGACATTGTAGCAGATCATTTTGTATACTACGCTTAAGTCCAACCGCAGGCGACGTAGTTCAAGGTTGCCCAAACCCAAAATCTCAAGCCTGGTGGTGTAGGGTATTCTGTTGGGAGCAGAGGAGTGGAGGACTCTTCTCGTGAAATACTTCTGGACTCGCTCCATTGTATTAATGTCCGGTATAGAGTGCGGATTCCAGACAGATGAGCTGTATTCGAGCAAAGGTTTTGTATGCCCTAGTTAGCAGTTCAGTATTTCCGGAGGAGAAGCTTTGTAAGATTAGATTTACAACTCTTAATGCCTTTTTTTGGCAATGCCGTTGCAGTGAGCCCTGGCGCTTAGGTCATTTGATATGAGTACTCCGAGGTCCTTGACAGAGTGAGGGTCGTCAAGGAGGTCATATTTTCACATGGGGCAAAAGAGGTCCAAGGGGTACGTGATAAAAATGAATGAAATTTTCCCAGTGCAGGAGAGGACCAGACTAAGCCTGATGAAAGAGTCAAACGTGTCATCAGTCTTCAATCCTTTCATGCCCACAAGAGACCTAAATCCAGCCCACCTTGAATTCCATTGAAGGAATTCTTATCTACCGCCAGTTTGCTTTGGCCATTAGTAGTTCAGATTCTTGTAGAGAGCTTAAACTTGCAATAAACCGTTAATCCTCGTCTTACGACCACAATCGAGCCCAAAACTCAGGTGGCTAGGCGAGACATTTTTTAAGTGAGTTTTGCCCCATTTTACGACCTCTCTCTGGCCACCGTTGTAAAGAGAATCGCTGCAGTTTTTAAGTGACTTATCCTGTTGTTAAGTGAATCTGGCTTTCCCCTTGACTTTGCTCATCAGACGGTCGCAAAAGGGGATCGCGTGACACCCCCCCCCCCCCCAGGACACAGCAATGGTCGTAAGTACGAACCAGTTGCCAAGTGTCTGAATTTTTTATCCTGTGACCGCGGGTAAGCTGCAAAAGTTGTAAGGGGGAAAAGTGGTCGCAAAGTGGGACACTGCAACCATCATAAATATTGAACCTGTTGTGAAGCATCTGAATTTGGATCACGTCACGGTGGGGATGCTACAACGGTCATAAGGTGTGAAAAATGGTTGTGAGTCATTATTTTCCTATGCCGTTGTAACTTCAAATGGTCACTAAATGAATGTAAATAAGTTGTAAGTTGAGGATTACCTGTATTCGTTTGAACTGCCTGGATTTCCTGATTTCTCGCGCTCGGCACCCGGTCTGATGGAAGCAAATATGGAGATTTTGTTCTCCATTGACCATGGCAATGAGAAACGGCAGGAAGAACCAACAGGAACACGTTCTCCACATCTGCTTTTGAGGTTCTTCTGACTTCCAGATGTTCAGATGACGTTAAATTTGGGGATTTAAGACAGAAAATTTTGGGAAAAGACAGAAAAATACAGCAACGAGAGATTTCGCTAAAAGAATCTCACCCTTCAGCTGTCATGCCCCTGTCAGAATCTGATTCGGAGCGGGAGGCCGACCATCTGACAGGGAGTGGGAGTGTGGCTCCGTTGGCTGTGGAAGAAACTGGGGAACGGTACAGTCCGGCTGGGTCAGATCAGGGGAGAGGTAGAGCAAGGGAGAGGTAATTCGGAGGAAGACCCAGGCCATCCCCCTCTTCATCCTACGGCACGCAGGAAGGAACAGAGAAGGGAGCAATGTGGGTTGCATGGCTTACGGGGGAGGAAAGGGCCCTGATTCCCTTCATTAGCTGCACCTGGGAACACAGTGTTTAAAAGGAATCTGCGCACAGCAACTTGTTGGAAGCAAATTGTGGGTTATCTGTTATTGTCGAGGCTTATCTGGGTTCCTGGCATCTTCACAACTGTTTGTGTTTTGCTGGCCTTTGAAGTCTGCAATTCCTTCTCCTGCTCTGTCAAGTTAATTACCGCAGCGTGGTTCATTTGGATTTTTAGTTATACTGTAGTTTGTGTGTACTTTGTTTTCGGACTGAATTTCCTCCACTTAAAAAGGCTGTTCCTGGGAGAGTTTTTCTCCAGCCAAAGGTAACCTGGACATTGGGGGCAAAATTAGAGGTATTAAAGGGACTCTTTTTACTTATGTGACTGTGTTGCCTTTGTGCCATGTCCCTTTGGGTCATCACATCAGCTCTACAAATAAGAGAAAAGCTGAGTATCAAATTGCTGCTTTTCGGGGCTTCCATTCAAATTAATCCTGGTTTGATTAGCCACCATGGGAGATAAGGAAATTATTCTAACTTTTTTTTTTCTTTTTGAATTTATTCAGGTGACCCAGATCCTCGACGAGGTAAGCTCTGAAACCACCACTTTGGCAAAATCATTGTAAATCTTTTGTCAAAAGCTCCTATTTTTATCCTTACCTTGGTATACAGGTAGCCCTCAACTTAACGGCTGTAATTGAGCCCAGAATGTAGGTCGCTAACGGAGAAATTCGTGAAGTGAGTTTTGCCCGATTTTACGACCCTTTTTGCCACATTCGTTAAGCGAATCACTGCAGTTGTTAAATTAGTAACACGGTTGTTAAGTGAATCTGATTCTCCCTGGTTGTAAGCCACTTTTTTCAGCGCCATTTTAACTTTGAAGGGTCACTAAGCGAATTGTTGTAAGTCAAGGACTACCTGGGTTATATTTGACTTAAACCACAAGAGTTTCATAACAGTTTGACCAAGGTTTTTAGTTTTTTGTTTTAGATTTGCTTTCCTGAGAGTAGAGGAGTGTAGAAAGTCATTTTATCAGCATCTTAAGTAGTGAATCTTACAACTGTATTCGTTTTACAAATAATACAAGGTAGCAAACGTACCCAGGGCACTTTCCTCCTCCGATTTTCCTCACAACAAACACCCTGTGAGGTGGGCTGGGCTGGGTGGCCCAAAGACACCCAACTGGCTTTTAATGGCCTAAGGTAGGACTAGAACTCACAGTCTCCTGGTGATTGGCCCAGAGTCACCCAGCTGGCTTTCATGCCTGAAGTGAATTCATGGCCTTCTACTTTCTAGCCTGGTGCCTTATTAACCGCTAGACCAAATTTGCGCTCTGTTGCTATGAATCACGGGCCGCAGAGCGTGTAGTTTTCACAATGGCTTGACAGGTGGGAGTAGAAAATTAGCTTTTTCCTTCAAATCACTTTCGAGTTTTTCTGCTCACCTCCCGACTTTCACCTACGTATTGGGGACCAAATGGAGAAACTCCGAAACGCTTTCTGTCTCCATTTGCAAAGCCAAAAACGATTGCCCCAAATCTCTTTTATCTTCTCTCTCTCTCTCTCTCTTGCAGATGAGACCCCCATCATCGCTGTAATGGTGGCCCTTTCCTCCTTGCTCATCATAGTATTTATTATTATTGTCCTCTACATGTTAAGGTGAGTGACCGCCTCCTCTTCACCTGCGTCTTTAGCACTCCTTCCCTGCAGGTCTGCAAGAGATGATTGAAAAACACACAAGAATCCATCTAAAATTTGCTTCTGGTTGCCCGGTATATTTTTTTACTTCTTTCTCTCTCTCTTTTTTTTTTTTGAATATTTTATCCCATTTTATAATCATATGTTGTTCCAATTTTCTAACCTTATTTCTAAAACAGTCTTATGTACCTTTGCAGAATCTCTTTTTCAGTTATATTTTTACCCATTATCTCTAAATAAGTCCAGTTTCTTTACATCTTGTTTCAAACCTTTGTAGCTTCTCTTCCCTTCCTTCCTCCCTTGCTTCTTCTCTCTGCCCTTTTTACCCCCTTGTCTCTCCATCTCCATTTCCCTCTTCTGTATTCCTCTTTTCTGTTGCTTTCTGACATTATATCCACTTTTCACCTTATTTTTCCCTTTTTGGGTTGTTTTTTTAGGTCTTAAATTCTCCATTCTCTTTCCCCCCCTTTCCCCTTTCTTCCCCAGATAAAGTTACTTGTTCGTTAAAGATGGCTTCTTCTTTGTCCCAATCTTCTTTTTACTTATTTCTTAATGGTAGGTCTAGTTGGATGAAAAGAAGAACTAGGGGGGGGACATGATAGCAGTGGGTGGGTGGTCAATCTATTCTGCAAAGCCCCAGAAGGCAGGACCAGAAATAACGGATGGAAACGCCTCAAGGAGAGAAGCAACCTGGAACTAAAGAGAGACTCTTAACAGTGAGGACAATTAACCAGTGGAACCGCTTGCCACCAGAAGTTGTGGGTGCTGGGCTCCATCACTGGAGGTCTTTAAGAAGAGCCATTTCTTTCAAAGGGTAGAAGACTGTGATGGCGAACCTATGGCACACATGCCACAGGTGGCACGCAGAGCCATGTGTGCCAGCACGCGAGCTGCAGGCAAACTTACCTCACTGCGCATGCGCACTGTGCCTCACAGCTGATTTTTGGGTGGTTTGAGGCCTTTTTCGGCCTCCCAGAGGCTTGAGGAAGGCTTCTGCAGGCTTTGCAGGCTGAAAAAACTAGGCCCGTTTCATCACTTCCGGTATTTCCAAAAATACCGGAAGTGACAAAATGGGCCTAGTTCTGAACAGAGCTGAGTGTTTACTGGCCGGGTGCCCTTCCTGTCACCAACGCGGGGTTACATTCAGCAGATATATTGTCAATGTGCCCAGAGAGCTCGGAGCAGCTTCCCTCCTGCGACGATATTTGTAACGGCGTCGAACATCCACATCTGCCGACCTCAGTTTCCTTGGGAAGGACTCCAGAGGTGGCTAACGATTGCCGAATCCAGCCTAGACATCTGCCTAACGCATCCTTTTTCCCTAAGTGCCATTGCAAAAGAACAGCTTTGCTTGGAAAAAACTTACATACCACCAAACATCAACCATCTGCTTATCCCACGTCCTCGGGAGGGTCTCCAGAGGTAGACCCCCCTCCCCCTCCCAAAAAACAGTCAAGTCCAGTTTGAACATCTGGCTGCCTGTCGACGAATTGTAATAACAACAATTTGGGGGTTTTTCCCCTACAAACAAGCCTTTGCTTGTCTGTGTGATTCTTTTAGAGTGGATAGATTTAGGTTTCAAGGAGCTCAAAGAAATGCACAAAAGGTTCCTAAGGGGATGCAGCCTTAACCTCTCTCCCTCCCACATTCTTCAGCTCCAAAAATAATATTGAAAGTCACCAGGGACAAAGCTCATCCCATAGGTACAAAGCAACAGCGCAGGAAAAGAGGTGTGTGGCGGGAGGGGAAGGAAGAGATGGAAACAACTTGCAAATTGCACAAGAATCCGGGAGTCAAAAAGGTTCCCACTCGAACCAGGAAACAGGATCGAGTCCTTGCTGGCGAGAAACAGGTTTAAAATGGATGATTTGCTGTCATCTGAAATTATCCACGCACCGAAAGATGGATTTTTAGAAGAAAAAAAAATCGGCTGCAGAACAACAACACCCAGTGAAAGGAAGGGTGGAGACTGGATTTTGTGTGTGTGTGTGTGTGTCTGTGTCTGTGTCTGTGTGTGTAAAATCAGCACGGGGAGGTTTGATTTGAGGCCTCGTTTGTTTGAGAAACCAAACCTACCACCCAGGGACCCATTTCCTCCACGTGTTGTTAAATGTGACCACAGCCGTGGCGTTCTCTTGCCAATGTGCACCCTAATGCACACACAAAAAACAAACAAACCCGCATTTCCTTGCACGCTCCTTGCACCTTTTGCAAAAACCAAAACTACAGGGAACGACCACAACAGAATTCCTGTTGTGTTGAGCGAGACGTTGTGTTCAGTGAGTTTTGCCCGCATCTTATGACTTCCCTTGCCACGGTTCTTAAGTGAATCACCACGGTGGATACCTTAGTAATCCGGTTTGTTAACCTGGCTTTTCCCTGTTGATTGAGGTCGCAAAAAAGGATCGTGTGATTCTTTCCCCTCCTCCCCGCCCCCTGGGACGCCGCAACCCATCATAAATATGAGCCAAGCAGCCTAATTTTGATCATGAGGGTGCTGCAAAGGTCGTAACCGTGGGGAAAAAACGGCCATAAGTTACATTTTTCAGTGCTGTTGTAACTTTGGGCAGTCATTAAACGAGCTGTACCAGGAACAGTCATTAAACTGAAAACAACAGTCAATTAAAAGGAGTGTGATGACCCAAAGGGGTGTGGCACCAAGGCAACCCAGTCAGATAATCAGTAGGAGTCCCTTTATTAGCTCCAACTTTGCCCCCAATGTCCTGGTTTTACCTTCTGGGTTGGAGAAAAACTCTCCCAGGAACAGCCTTTGGATGCAGAGAATCAAGTCCAAAACATGGTCAACAGAAACTGTAACTATAAGTCCAATCAAGGCAAAATGAAGTCATTAGTCTGGCAGGGCAAGAGAAGGAATTTCAGGCGTGAAGGAACTGCAGTAATTCAACCTGGTTGGGAAGACGCCAGGAACGCAGATAACCAAAGTCAACACAAGATAAACTCATGTTCCCAGTAAATGCAGCTCTCAGCTTGCATCTCTTTTAAACTCTCATTCCCAGGTGTAGCTAATGAAGGGAATCAGGGCCCTTTCCTCCCCGTAAGCCATGCAACCCACGTTGCTCCCTTCTCCGTTCCTCCCTGCGTGCCGTAGGATGAAGAGGGGATGGGCCTGGGTCTTCCTCTGAATTCCCTCTCCCCTTGTTCTATCTCTTCCCTGCTCTGCCCAGCCGGACTTTGCCCTTCCCCGGTTTCCTCCACAGCCAACTGAGCCACACTCCCACTCCCTGTCCGCTGTTTGTCTTACTCCTCGGATTCCGACTCTGACAGGGGCATAACAAGGAGGACTGCATGTACTTTTAAGTATTGTATTGTCCTCGATCCGTTGTAACATTGTTTGAGGAGCAGAAACCCTGGTTTTTTGAATAACCGTTGGACCTGGAAATTGTGCCATTTCAAAAGTTGCACATATTCACGGGGTTCATGAATATTTAAAGATATGCCAGTTCCTGCATTTGGATAAAACGCAATTATGCGTGGTCACACTTCACCGAGAATCTCTCGCTTTGAAGACCAGCTTATCAGGAAATTATTGAGTCTGACTCTAAAATATTCAGGAAGTTGCCTTGTTTTATTCAGATAATTGTAATTTCTCTCTGTCCCTTTGCAACTGTTCTTTGGATGTAGGTTTGTTCTAATGCCAAGCGTTGCCTCATGTTGTTGGTATGCATGTGTGCAGAATCCAATTGCTGCAGCACATTACTTTTTTGTATCCAATATTTTTATTACATGATGCAAAGCCTACACCTTAAAAGAACAACATAAGCTAACTGTGATGACCCGGGGTGTGACACAAAAATAACAAAATCACAAAAGTATAATAAATTCCCTTTAATGCCTCCAACTTGGCCCCCAATGTCCAATTATCCTCGGCTGGAGATCAAGCTCTTCCAAAAACAGTCTACGAAGGAAAGAAATGCAGCCTGAACCCAAAGTAAAGATAATTAGAAATTTTTAAAAACCAACACAAACCACACTGAAGTCATTAACACGGCAGGCCAGGATGATAAATTGCAGACTTCCACAAGATAACGCAGCACCCACAGTTGGGAGGACGCCAAAAACCAGAAAAGGCTCGACCAAGATAATGCACACTTTGCTTCCAGCAAGGAGCTGTGTGCAAACGCCCCACTTATATCCTGTTCTCCCAGCTGCAGATAATGAAGGGAATCAGGGCCTTTTCCTCTCCCATAAGCCACGTTGCTCCCTTCTCCGTTCCTCCCTGCGTGCCCCAGGATAAAGAGGGGGGGTGGCCCTGGGTCTTTCTCTGAATGCCTAGCTGGAGTGTGCCCTTCCCTCCATATCCTCCACAGCCGCCAGAGTCCCGCTCCCTGTCAGCTGCTCAATCTCCCCCTCAGAATCAGACTCCAACAAGGGCACGACACTCACAGAGAAAAGGTAAAGAGTAAAAAGAGAATAGGGATAGAAGTGCAAAAAGGTATAAAGAAAGGAAAACACACACACACACACACACACACATATGTATGTATATAGGTAGGTAGTCCTTGACTTATAATAGTTTATTTAGTGACTGTTCAAAGTTGCAACGGTGCTGAAAAAAATAGTGTCTTACAACCGTTTCTCCCACTTAACGACCGTTGCAGCATCCCCTTGGTCACATGATCAAAATTCCCATTCTGGGCACCTGACTCATATCTATGACGGTTGCAACCTCCCAGGGTCATGCGACTACTGTTTCTGACCTTCGGACAAGCAGAGTCAGAAAGGGGGAAACCAGATGCACTACTGCAGTGATTCATTTTACAGCTGTGGCAAGAAAGGTTGCAAAATGGGTCAAAACTCACTTAACAAATGCCTGATTTAGCAACAGAGATTTGGGGTTCAATTGTGGTCGTAAGACGAGGACAAACTGTGTGTGTGTGTGTGTGTGTGTGTGTGTGTGTGTGTGT